ATTTAAAAATTAATTTTCGACCACAACTTATCAAATTAATTGATCACAAATTATTTCGAGGTCACAATTGACTTCAATGGTCACTGATCAAAAAATTTATAGGTCACAAATTTTTAATTGGTCACAAGTTAAAAAAATTATAGATAACAAAGATCACATTTTCAAATTTGTTAGTCACAGATTTATTTTTAGTCATAGATTATCAAATTTTGAGGTCACAGTTTAATAGTTAGCCACAGAGAATCGTATAGTTGATCACATACACCCAAACACCCGTCCCCCAATCCCAATCCCAATCCCAATCCACCACCAAAACGACCACAAATCGACCAAATAGTTGGTCACAGAACTCTTCGTCGTATCTCTGCCGCCGCGCCACCACAACCATCCACCAACAATAACACAAATAACAACCACCACCCAAACCACCACAGATCAGTCCAAACCACCAACAATAGCCACTCACACATATCCACCTGATACCCACAACTCGGACGCCTCTCTGATTCCCTCAACTTCGATCCGCCACATACCCATAGCAGTTAAACACACATATGAGCCTCCAACAACAACCAACGACCAACAATAGCCACTCACACAGATCCGCCCAACACCCATAGATACGTCGCCTCTCTGATTTCCTCAATTCCGATCCGCCACACAATCGAATTAGCCATTTGACTAAGAGAAACATCATCAAATTCTTGAACATTGAATATTTCGCATAATACCTTGAAGCCAGCCAACAATTGACCATGTTTAAAGTGAAATTGGCTCGGACCCAGGGCTGGGCTAGGTGTACCGAGGTGGGAGGAGGCTAGCCCAGACGGTTCGCCACCATGGTTGACCTGGGTTGCACTGGGAATTGCCTGATTGCACTTGCCGCGCTCGCGAGTTCGCACCAGGGAACGAATCTGAACCAAATTGGGGGTGATTGGAGCCAGGTGATGGCCCGCCCAGCCCAGGTGGTCCGCCACCATGGGTCACCTCACCGGAACCAGAATCGACCTTTTTTTGGTGCGCTGTCGCGACAATACTTTCTTTACTTCGAAATTGGTGGTTTTTGGTTGCTTGTTGATAGGAATTGTTTATATAGGTAGCTTCAACTTGATGAGGGGAGTCGACCGATGGTGGATTCTAGCCGGTAGGATGGCTGGACGACGAGTTGTGGTGGTTTGATCGAATATCGACAGCCCACTTTGAAGCTGATTTTCGAATTAGTTTAGGGTTTGGATAGATTTAGGGTTTGATATGTAAAATAAATTACTTGATTTTTGAATAAATAAACTTTAGACCTGA